TATTTTTAAGCACTGTCACTTTTTCATACCTAATTTTTTCACATCTTACACTTTTGTGGAATATCCATTAGACTCAACCCTTCAAGTAAGTGTTAAGTCAACCGACTCCATAACAGAGTTCTGGAGAAGCTAGTCGTCAAATTCCCCACCATTTATGAAATCAGGAGATTCATTACTGTGTCCACAAGAGCACGCCACTGATTCCTGTTCGGAGCTAGTAATCCAGTCTAAACCTTCCACCGCATTCTTCTAAGATGTCTTAATGATATCCTCTTATGTACACCTAGGTCTTCTGAATGGGCATTCAAGAATGCAACCCCTCCATATATAATGAGCATCACCCTATCTAACTGAGAATATTTACGTAACCATCATACTGTTTTTTTTTTTTTCAGGCTTATTTCTCAATTATTTCCAGAAGCAGAGTGTCTGGTGAAAGCATCAAAGCTGAACCGAGAAGGTTGGACGACAGCAGATGTTCTTTTCTCTGCGCAGTGGCGTAAAGGAGGTCACGAGTTGCTGTCGGACCCAAATCTTGATGAGCAAGTGATGGCGAATATGAAGCACCGATGTAGCATTCAAAATTCTGAGTGACAATGGCGCAAACAGTTGTGAACTACCACACAGCTGAAATGGTCTTTAAACCTTTGTTACTCCTATCGTAGTAGAGCGTAGCAAAATTAAAAATCCCCTTCCCGTTGTAATGTAGAAAACTGTAGTAAAGTCTTTTAAATATCTGGAAATAGTGTCCACTTAGGGCCATGCACTAGCGACTTTAATGGAACAGGTAAAGGATTAGCTGTACTGCGGACATGTCTGTGAAACTATCACGTTATTTAGGATAGGAGATACTAATATATCACTCCTCAGTACAAAGTTTCATAATTATCTTTTTAAAATGCTTGCTTAGCTGTTAACTTAAACAATTTATATTTCAGTTCCCTGTATTTCCCACTTCAGGTGTAAGAAACCTGGATACGGTCTGTGGTCGAGTGGATATATTTTTTGGCCACAAGCCCTTGGTGGGTTTTTAATTTCTTGTTATATATTCTCTTATGTTTAAATAGTCATACTACTTCCGTTTATTTTACTTATGTACCTGTGGCTTCACACTATTGCAAAATGAGTATCCAGGTTACGATTTTCCGAATTCATTTGCGTATGGCCACCGAGATAGAAAGTGGTGGGTAGGTGTGAAAGGAATTAAATAAATGTCATGCAGAAGCATGGAGGAATAAACATTTGCAAAATTAATTAAAAAGTGCCTCCTATAACATCTTACCAGACATTTGTGATGAGCAGTGCCATATATTGCATATAAATATTGTTATAATTAATTTAGTTACATTAACAGTTAATTACAAATAATATTAACATAATTTTAAATATTTTGTACCAGAATTGGCCTGCAGCGAAGTCTTGTATTTTTTAATGTAGCCCATGTTCAAAAAAGCCCTTCACAAACCGTATGAGATTCGATGTTCTCACAGTAGTCAAGACGTTAATGTTGGTATTCTAGTTAGTAATTCAGTGTGTCCTGAAGATGGAAACTGTATGTTCCTCCAAAACATTGATATATACCTACAAGTCCATACAGTGTTACTGTCCAGAAGACCAACATTGACTACACAGTCCAGTCTTGTGAAATTTCTCATCTCTGCAGTATACATAACCTCACTTAAAGTCTCTTAAACCTCTACATTAATTTCTGACATCGCTCTATTGCAAATATATAAATGAAGTTCTCCACAGACAGTGTCAGCTTATGTGCTGTGGCCATTTATGCATGTTAAGCCAGCACAGAATAAGATATACATTTTGACATATTGTATAGAAATTAGCAAGAAAGTGTCTCGTAACTGGAAGTAGGAAATGTGCTAGTGTCTCAGATTTGTTACGTAATTATAGCCAGTCATCACATTTGGTTCTGATGCTGAAATGTAACATCGCATCTTACACTTGAGAAAGTGTAAATGAGAATATTACTAGTCCATTTTCTGGTTCGTCATCTTGTCTGCTGGCGTTTATAGACAGTATTAACGTCAATTGTCTGAGTACTGTGCCATTATAATTTGCTGTTGCCAGGGTAAAGTTACGTATTGTCGACAAGAGGAAAGTGTAGATGATTGCTTTTAGGGTGACAGTGCTGAGGGAACTTGGAGTGCCATTAACTCTGAGCCCTCTCATGTCCTTCAGGCCACATCTGTTAATTTCTTTCAGAGACAGTAAGTTGTAAGAGTTCAGGAAATGAAAAGCAATTTTTGGGAAGACTTCACAAAACAGGCTTTTTCAAAAACATTTATGACTGATTATACAGTTTACACATTTCTGTAAAGTTTAGATTCTAGTTATTTTCTAAATTACTGATAATTTTAAATATGAGTCATGAAAACAGAATTATATTTCATTTGTGATTTACCTTCCCATTGGCAAGTTGTGGGCTGACTGTAGAGACTCGTATAACTGTCATTTTTACGCTTTTGTAAGAAAAATAATGACAGTTGTGTGCTGACTTCTAAGTCTCATGACATACGTGAAATACTCTTCGTGTATGAGAGGAATTTACTTCTTCCTTCCTTTCTGAATGTCTTTAATGTCTGCTGTTACGCAATATTTTGAAAGTACAAATTTCTCGGTACTAAACCAGAGAGAAAGAGCTCACTTAAAATTGCAAAAAATGAATTGAAATGAACTGAGTGGAATGAATTGCAAAATTAAATAGTAACAGAAAGTAAATAGAAAAATAATGTGCGGTGTGGGCATATATCTTTGTTACTTAATATTGATAAATCATCTTCAAGGTTGATGGCCTACTCAGAGTAAACATGAAAAAACTGAGGTTCTCGATGTCATTGTCAGTCTCGTGGGTTGTGATGCTTCCGTGTTCAGCCCTGAACGTGGAGGCAGCGTATCTGTCTGAACCCAGAAGGCCACCATTGACATGAAGAAAGAATCAGAAAATATATAGATGGCCTAAATAAGTGTTTTTGATTCTCTTTCGGTCCAAATACCCTTGCTTGTACCCCTTTTCAGTAAATTACAAGAACGGTATACTCGTACATGTACCTTCCCATTTTAAACAGACTTTGTTTTATGTTTGGCAGTGTTTGAAATATATATTACATGTATACCGCTGGTTGAGAATTGCCAGCTAAAACAATCAAGTCATTGAACACCAAGTTGACAAGTGGAAGAAGTATAACTTAAACACAGTATATACAATAATTTTATAAAGTGATGTAAGGAAAGTATTTTAACAAAATTTTTGGGTTGTGCAACACACCCTATGATTAGATTGTTGTGATATATTTCCTTATTTTTAAAAGTTTTACATCACGTACTTTAATTGTTAAAGACCTAGTATAATACTTCTTTTTGACATTGTCTCATGTATTGGTGTGAAAATAATTGTTGTTCAGATTATGTAGCTGTTTGATGGATACTGTTCTTAGAAAGTACAAATATTCTGAAACTACTCTGTGTTACATTGACTTGTTACCCTTTATCATCTGGGCATTGAGGCTTATGCACAATTCAGCTGACCATTGTATGTAAGCAAAGATAGCATATAGCATCACTTCTGTACCACTGGTTTGTTTATATTATATTTATATGAATACTATAAAGGAGGTTGGTGCAGAAGTAAATAGAAAATTAAGTATATGTAATCAGACAGCTGGGCAGAGTCATGAGAGAAAAATCCTTTAAAGTTATTTGGGAGTGACTAATGGATTAAGATTATATTACAAATTAGTTAAGAGCAAATTATATTTGGAGAATGGTTTATGTAATTCGGTAGAGTATTTTGTTTTCTCATTAAGTTAGACAAAACTGCAAGTATATATGTTGTTTTGTATGAATGTGAACTTGGTCTTCTACCCTCTTGAAAGAACATGGATTGGAATTTTGAGAATTGGGTGCTAGGGTAATTTTCGGATCTGGAGAAAGAAAGTGGCGGGAATGTGGAGGAAACTGCATATTGAGGTGTTTCATGATTTGTGCTTCTCACCTAATATAAGGCTGTTGATAATACATGGGTGTGGATGGAAAACCTGCAGGGAAGAGACCACTTGGAAGACGTGGGTATAGGTGGGAGGATAATAAAATTACTTTTGAAGAACACAGTATCTAGACTGGATTAATTTAGTTCATAATACCAATGGCAAGTTCTTGCGAACATGCTACTGAAACTTTAGATTTCATAACCTACCTAACTAGTTTTTTCTACATCAGTAGCCACACGCTAAGTGAACAAGTAACTTGAAACTGAAGAGTAGAGGTGAACATAGGTTACCGGGAGAGAACAAAATGCATAATGAGGACATTCATAATTGGAACTCTATCATTGTTTATATCGATAGATGAAAGACGTGGCTGGGATATGTAACATGGACGAGTAAAACAATGGTGTACTTTTGATATTGATTCCCATCTTGAACAATTACGCCAATGTCCATGTTTCTGTGCTTTTTTTAAGATTGAAAAGCTTCAGATATGTTTACATAGGTGGCAGCTATCGAAGAGTTATTGCCACGAATTACAGTTACCATTTTATTCGGTATTAAGTGAGATCGGCGAATGCTAGATTAAAACCCATATCACCAATGCAGCATTACCAAAATAGTCACAGAATGATATGATAACTGTGCCGTTTGCCTCCTCCTTTAGAGAGTACATTGTTAATTTAATTTACATCACTTTACATCAATAAAATGTAATTAGTTCTCACTGCTTTCGTTGGTCACACTGTTTTGCCTAAGCTGCCATCTACAACGATTACGAACACAGATTAGTTATATGTCTGACTGTTAGGAAGGGTTGAATGTTTGTAGTGGGGGAGTGGAAGTTGTAGGTTCTTTTGTTAATGCAATTTACTAGTAACTTATTTAATGAAAGTGAAGTGGCTTTATTTGTTTCTCATTTTCGAATGTTCACATCTGTAAACTAAAAGTTGCATAAGCGTACTTCACAGTAATTGTAAAAGGGAAGCATTTTGAGGATTACAAAATGGCTGCAAGTGATTCATCGGGCGACGATTCGCTCTACCCAATTGCAGTTCTGATAGATGAATTAAAGAACGAAGATGTGCAGGTAAGTTAGATGGATAAAATGCTTAAATATGCACGTAAGGTTCCACTTAACAAACTTACCTCAAACATTAGTAATTCACATAGCTTCTGTTTATGTTTATTTGTATCGGTTATAACATTGCAAATGTATTTTTCACGTTTCAGCTACGTCTCAACTCCATAAAAAAACTGTCGACCATTGCTCTTGCATTAGGTGTCGAGAGGACACGCAGTGAGCTTATCCCGTTCCTCACTGAAACTATTTATGATGAGGATGAAGTCCTTTTGGCACTAGCTGAACAGCTTGGCAGCTTTACGCCCCTTGTTGGTGGCTCAGATCATGTACATTGTTTGTTGGTAAGTTTCTGTTTAGTTTCTAAAGTGCAGTTGCTCACGATTATTTATTTACGATTTGTAGCAGAATGTGACACACAGCCATTAAAAAGTAATGAACATCTGTAATTTAGTTAAGCAGTTCTATTATTTATCACCTATGTACTGCTAATTACTTCTGTGGGTATTGATTATAATTGTGATAAATTTCTTTTGGAAAATTATGCTTTGTTGCTGTCAGACAAATTCCCCCAAAATATTATTTCATGTTATGTATTTTACCTGAATAAATAAATTTAAGAGTTCTCTTATGAAAAGAAATGAGGATCTTATTATGAAATATGGTGCAGTTAATTTTAGTGGTTTTCTTTCCCATTTTAAGTGGTTATCGATTTGGAGACTAGAACTTTGGAATTTTTTGTTCTTGAATAGGTTGATCATGGTTTCTTTTTGAATGGCTCGCTGCAAAGGCTGTGGCTTTTTATCTGTGGTAATTATCAGCTGCTGTGTGGGTGGTCATGTAGAAAGATAAAAAAACACTGTAGCGTAGCTACTGAATGATGAATGTTTTAAAATGTTATCTATGGAAAGAATCATACTTTTTATGATTTTACAGTACCTGATGAAACAGGTGTCGTAAATATGGAAATAAATGTGATAAAAAGTGGGAGCCTTTTGATGATTTCGGTAATAACATTCAGGATTTTGATTCCTATGAATTACATTGCTGTTTTATAATCTGTAGAGTTGAGGAAGTGTGATTAAGTAAACACAGAATCAGATCAGGATATGTGACAGGTACTTGGCTTATAGGAATTCTTCTATGGTGCATACTGCTCTAAATAGGTAAAACTATTCTCCTCTCCTCACTCTGATTACTGTCTCTCACAGTGGAGAATTGATTTGACCTTGAAGCCATGACGTCATGCTGGATGCTGTCCTAAAAACATTGCCCCTCACTACAAATTAAAATTTTTATTGCTATTGGAGCAACCTTTATGATATTAGATGTTATGGGTCTGTTACCAGTGACCTAAGATATGGAATTCTATATGAAATACCGTAGATATGAGACAAAACATTACTAAGCTTAGAAAGGACTAATGGAGAACTGAGAGTCAGCCATTATTTCTATACACATATTGGAATGGCTTTGCACTTTTGTATTTCTGTTTGAAGGTCGAGTTAATGCTCGACTCTGACAGTAGTCGCTGATATAAGGGATCCAGAATGTTGTGCACACAGCACTTAGCAAATTTTATCAGCAGCATTGCAGGTTATTTATTTCCCACAGTACAGTTGGTACACCTGTACATTGTCTAGTGGAGATTTATACTTAATATATACGTGCACTTTATGTATAAAAAGTCTTAATGTAAGCGTTGTGTCTGTTCATTTGCATGGTTCATCTTCGGAACTGTTAAATAATTTTTGGTTCAATTTTGTATTAGGTATCAACACATTATTTTGATTTTGGCTTGTTTTGGTTTAATGCGATTGCTACTTCATATGATGCTCAGATTGAATTTTGTAGTTTTTTTTAAATACATTTAATTATAAGAAGTGAAAATTGCTTTGCTTACATGCGACATGATATGTAATCTGTTTGCTAAATACAAGGGAAAATGATCTATGATCGCTGTGCAATTAAGTTTTGTAACAATATGTTTGTATTTGCAATAAATGTATATAAGATTACTTAGGTATACTAATTTTTTTTATTTTTCCTTCTTCTGTAAATGGAACAATTTATCTTTTCCGTTCGGCATCTACATTTATTCAGTATTACTGATCCAGTAAGTGATATGGAGAAACCACCATTGATTTAGCCAGGACGAGTCTAAAACTAAGTACCGTGGATAATAATTTGGCATAGGTTAGAGAGTTGCGAAAAGTTGTAGTAAGTGAACATGTCTGTTTTTATTTCAGCCACCTTTGGAGTCGCTGGCAACCGTCGAAGAGACAGTAGTACGCGACAAAGCAGTCGATTCCTTGCGAGCGATTTCTGGTCAACACAGCCCAGGTGATTTGGAAGCACACTTTGTTCCATTGGTCCAGCGTCTGGCATCAGGTGACTGGTTCACCTCGCGGACGTCAGCCTGCGGCCTGTTTAGTGTTTGCTATCAGCGAGTGGGTGCAGCAGTGAAATGTGAGTGAGACATTTACGTGATGTATCTTATAGTTAATTATGTGGGTTGGCATGGTGTGTCCGCAGGTGATGTTGAGAGGGTATCTGCAAATATAGTAGTGGCAGATAGCCAACATTCGGTGGTCCTCCAAACAACTCCCCTCCTTAAAGAAACTACCAAATTACGAGATGTTTTTGAAATAGCATTTCTGTTTAAAAAGTCTCCAACCTGATGAGTGGGGCAGGTTTAACTGAAAAAGAAAAGAAAAATGAAGTCGTATCAACTTGAAATTTATGTAGGTGGAGGGGGCGATACCTGTAATATCATATGGAAATTCTAGTCGAATTTAGACTCTTAAAGTGTGTATTCCGCAATCTTCTGTCTTAGATTTCACGTAAAATAATCTTTAATTTTTTTTTTTTTTTGAGTCGAAAGCAATGTAGTTTTCTGTTCTGGGATTCTACGAACAAGGCGCTAAGAATAATTCTGTAATTCTGTGTGTGTTATGCAATGGTATCTCTGATTTTAGCTGATCTACGCAATCATTTCCGCAACTTGTGCCAAGATGACACGCCGATGGTGAGGCGCGCAGCCGCCAGCAAACTTGGCGAATTTGCGAAAGTAGTCGAAGTAGAGTATCTCAAATCAGATTTGATCCCCATGTTCGTGAACCTGGCACAAGACGAACAGGATTCCGTACGACTGCTTGCCGTGGAGGCTTGCGTCAGCATTGCCACTCTGTTGCAGCAGGAAGATGTCGAACAGTTGGTAATGCCCACGTTGCGGCAGTGTGCTGGGGACACTTCATGGCGTGTGCGCTATATGGTCGCTGACAAGTTTACTGAGGTATCGTATCGCTCACCCCTAAAGTAATAGAAATCAGTATGTATGCGGGGAGAGAATACAAGGACAAATCTTTACAGTCGGGTCCTATTAAATGGAATGTTTCTCTGTGTTCTTTTAATTTCATCGATCCAGCTTCAGAAGGCTGTGGGACAAGAAATCACAAAATCAGACCTGGTACCAGCATTCCAGTCACTGTTAAAGGACACGGAGGCAGAAGTGCGTGCCGCGGCAGCGCACAAGGTGCGCGACTTCTGCCAGAACTTGGACTCGTATCAGCAAGAGTCGATCATCATGACGAACATCCTCCCGTTCGTAAAGGAACTGGTCGCCGACCCCAATCAGCACGTCAAGTCGGCGCTGGCTTCGGTCATAATGGGCCTCAGCCCCATACTCGGAAAACACAACACGATCGAGCACTTGCTGCCCCTCTTTTTGTCGCAGCTGAAGGATGAGTGCCCTGAAGTGCGGTTGAACATCATTTCCAATCTTGACTGCGTGAATGAAGTAATCGGAATTCAGCAGGTAAGCGAATCGTTTTAGACAAATCGATGCGTGAATTACAATTAAAGAAAATTTGTCGGTAACGAGAGTATTTCTTCATACCGCTCTTTGTGTTGTGCGTTATGCTCTCAGCTCTCGCAGTCACTGTTGCCTGCCATCGTTGAGCTTGCGGAGGATTCGAAATGGCGTGTGCGATTAGCGATCATCGAGTACATGCCTCTTCTGGCCGGGCAGCTTGGTGTGGAGTTCTTTGATGAGAAATTGAACTCGCTTTGCATGACTTGGCTTGTTGACCATGGTGAGTAATCGCTCATTATTATTACGTATCAATTTTGTATGTCATAATAGTGTATTTTGATGAATGTAAGAAAAAATTTTCTCGCATTCTCAATTTTCAAAATGAAAGGTTGACACATTTACTACCAGGAATTTTAAACGAGGCTGTTGCTGGAGTTCCAGTTTATGGGTTTTCAGCACTGGCAGAATTAAAGTGTATCTGATGAATTGAAAAACCCAGATTTTTCCAAGGCTGTGTTCCGTATCTTTCAGGTTGGCTGGCTTATGTTCGTCCCAGTTTACTTGCAAAAAAAAAAGAAACTGGAATGTAGAGGAATATTGAGAAAAAAATTATTTACATTTCCTTGCAGCCGAGTCCATTTGTAATAATGTTTTAATTGATAGGTGTAATTATCACTGTTGTCTGCGTTTTCAGTGTACGCTATTCGCGAAGCTGCCACATTAAATTTGAAGAAGTTGGTGGAGAAATTTGGACCGGAGTGGGCGCAGAATACGGTGATTCCAAAAGTTCTGGCCATGTCTCGCGACCAGAATTATCTTCACAGAATGACATGCTTGTTTTGCATTAATGTAAGTAGCACAGAATGAAACTCCGCCTTAGCTTAATAATTCCCAGAATAATATGAGGGGTTCTGCAGCGCCAGATTTTAATATGAACCGCACCATGGGGGGGGATATGTTTTTTTTTCACATTTGTGGGTTGCCGTTCGAATAGGAATGTGATGTTTCAGGGTTCTACTCGAACAACTACTTAGAACATTTCTGTCTGCCATGTTGTGCTTACTGTCTGATTGAAATTATCTGAAAACTGTTTCTAATTTCCATTTGTATTCCTTCGTCAAAATTATTAGTCACATAAACACATTTGTACTTGTCTTCCTCCGTTAAACAGGGATTCTCCATATTATAGATTAGTTTTGTTTGTTTTCTTCTGAATTTCAGAACAATTTTATTTTGTGATTCAGGTTCTCGCTGAAGCTTGTGGGTCAGAAATTACAGCCAAGTTGATGTTGCCCACAGTTTTAACCATGGCAAACGATAACGTTGCTAACGTACGATTCAATGTAGCCAAAACTCTTCAAAAGATTGGACCTGTATTGGACACAAGGTTGGTAGATCATATAAAATTTGGAAGTTTCATCGCGCAAATGTAAATGGTACTGTTAACGGCCTTGTTTTACAGTGCATCTTAAAAATAGCAGGTTTCACTAATAAATGTTTTTTAAAGTGTTTAATTATCATTGTTATTTGTTTTTGTTTTTTTGGAGATGTGGGTAAACGGCCCTTTTGAGGGCCTGGGGGAGGGCAGAAGTCCTCCAAAAACACCCAACTACTACACATTTACCCTGAAGATCGCAGTATTTGCTGGGACTTCGGATAATGCGTGACATTTGAATGGGGCTCGACCCTGAAAGGCGAAGTTAGACGCCGAACAAACGAAGGTTCCTGAGGAGGAATTTGATACTTTGTTTCATGCATCTTTCCATTGGTTGTGTCTAATGTGTGATCGTCATTTTTCTTTTTTGTTACAGCTGTATTCAGACGCAAGTTAAGCCGGTGTTGGATAAACTTAATGTTGACAGCGATGTTGACGTAAAATATTTTGCGTCTGAAGCCATTGCAGGAATTGCAGGTAAATAGGTAATTCTGACTGGATTATCATTGACTGAACGCACATTTGTCAATAATACAGTCCGCAAGCAACTTGTGCTGTGTCACTAAATCAAGAGATGTAATGCGTTTTTCAGTTCATGTCGACTTCGTGGGTAATAAATACTTTACGATACTAGAAGTTCTAAAAAACAATAATTAAATATGAAATGATACTATGAACGGCAGAGCACAGAAAGTAACAAATGCATGTGAGAATTTTTTTGTGATAAATACCAATGTTCTCCAGTTGTGAGTAAGGCACGTTACGCACGTGCACAGCCTTCATCACAGGTATTTTACTGGTAGTGCAAGTTATTTGATACTGCGAGACAGATTTACTGAGAACAAAAATTTACGACAATTTTAATGTAGTTCAGCCGTGAATAAGGGAAACCGCAAATCGCAATTTTGTTAACGTAAGGAGGTGATTGTACTTGCTACCGAAACTTTGATTACGTAAATTTCTTTGCTTTAAACGTTTCGATGTACTTTTATTGGACTGGTATTTTTCTGTGGTGTTTCGGAGATTTTAAAGAATGTTACCTTTTGAGGTTTCTGTCTTTGTTTCAGTAGGTTGAAGATGTGTGATTTCCTCCGCACGCCATAACGGTGCGCCTCGTAAATGGTGAGTTTAATAAAGGAAATTTGTGATTGATTATAAAGGATCGTTTTCCGTCTGTAAAAATTAGAATTTAAGTGCGCTGTTTATTCTTTAATGCCAATACATGAGTAGTAAAATATTTTAATGTTGCTTTGTTTTCAGATTAATGTTGAACAAATGCAGATTCCCTCGTTTAAAATTCTAGTACTTGTACATAAATAGCTATTAGTGCCTCTAAATTTACTAACAGGAGTACTTTTTTTTTATTCTTATGGAAAATGAGGCAATATTGACAATTGTGTTTTTGTAGTGTTACATAAACGTTTCCTAGATTAAGTGAGATATTCCAAAGTCTGTGACGAATATCTTGCGCCGTGCATTTAAGATGTGAGTTTCATAAGAAATTTTATTGAAGATGTCAACTGTAAAAATAATAAAACCTCTTATGAGCTGAAAAACTTTGAGACGCTGTAAGTGACTTGCACATAAATATATTCACCTGCAGTATGAAACATAATTTATCGATACTTCTAACTGCGAGTAACCGAAGGAGGTAAAATGTTGCATTTGTGTTATTTTGAAAATAATTGGATTAATTTAAATTTTATGTTCCCTTCTGTAAGATATTATTTGCAGTTCTGAGCAAAGTTTCTTCTGATATGGAAATGTGTCTTTATTTTGTGTGAATTTTGTTTACTTGATGTGGAAGAGGTTCAGTAATTTGCAGCCATGCGATGATAGTTTCCTGAT